ATAAATCACACATACAATAAATCATCACACAGTGCCTATATTCTTCCTGAATACAGGGGTAAATGTATGTAGAGTAATTAAATTATTTTAACTTTTCAATTATTTTTTTAATGATCATTAAATTCTCATTTTTGGAAAACTGCCACTCTATATGCCCTGTGCCCTTTGCTGTGAGTGTGGCCTCTCCAAGGAGTGGCTATACAGCAAGCAGAGTCCTTAAGGGACAGATGTACTGTGCCATTTTAATAGTTTTAACTTTCTATTTAATTACCTTAATAACTTAGGCTATAAAAATAATGAATAAATGACCTTCAAGATAAAATATTTAAGTTTTAAAAAAGTAGAAGATGCAATTAACACACCTTAGTTTGATATTTAGTTTCATTTCCAACACCTTAAAGACAATTGTATTGGTGACACTCAGAATATAAGGTCACCAAATAATGTAATGTTTGTTTATTAAATTTAAGGAATAAAGAGCTTTATTGTCCCATTAAAAAACCAATAAGCACAGGTCAGGTGACACAGGTGCCATTTCTGTCATCTAGATATTAAGAGTGTGAAAATACAGACTTCTGAAAAGGCCTGGTGCAGACTGACCCAGGTCAGAGAGGTTAACCTACATGTCAATCACAGTCACTGGAGTGAGTTGGCTTTATTGAGTGAGGCCCAGGTCTGATGGTTTTAACATCTGCAAAACACAATGGTAGGTCAGAAATAACAACACATTAGGAAATTAGCAAATAATCACTGAATTGTTTAGGGAAACAAGATCAATAAGGGTTTAAAATTCAAATGTTTTTAGTAGACAGGAAGATAAAAGCGAGAAGAGACTTGAAGTTCAGACAATAGGGAGGGGCTGCAGCTATGTAACTGGGGGATACATGCCTCCCCTCCCAAATACATTCAATTCTTTAAAAAAATTTAAATCCAGTGCTGGTCAAACAAATTCAGGGCCTTATTTGGTCACCAGCTTGTGACCCCTGACCTTTACTAATATCAGGCCTCAGCCCCCACTCTCAGGAACTGTAATTTTGGAGTGGGACTCGAAGTCTTAAAAAAGATGATAGGGTAGTGGGCAGGTAGGTTAACTTTCAGTGTAAGGAAAGTTTTAAAACATTTTAACAGCAACTGGAGCACAGATTAACAAGGGAACAGGAGCATTGTGACTGGATTTGAATTACAGATCGACAGCTCCTTAAATGCCCCCTTAATACGGGGGCCAGATTGGGGAGACAGGGGTCAAGAGGCCCCATTGCTAAAACCTGAAAGGACGCCCAGCATAAAGCCAAGTCACCTGGGACAGGTGACATTTTTACACACGAAAAAGAGTTTCGTGTTAGTCTTTTTAGAAATACGTACGTTTGTTTAATCTTTGCTTCTTCAGGATGACCTCTAAAAATGTTTATTCCCCAAACACACCAAAAACCGCTGTACATTAAACATTCTGTTAGGAAATGACACCTCATTAAGCAACTCTTAATTGCTTTACATTTTCAACTGTCCAAATTTCTTTTTGAGTACTATGTGTACTTTTGTGAAATGCAAGTTCATTAATATGCACATGTTTTTACCACTGCTTTGAACCTCTTTAAAAATGCAGATACAAAGTTTCCAATGAGGGGGGGGTGGGTCAGGGTGCCAATGTGGGTAAAAGGGGACTTACTGAAAGCTGTAATTATGATAAGTACATGTTTGTATACTTGTTGGGGGTGGGTGGGATGTGACAGATTTTGGGAAGCCAAAGCCCCTAAATCCCTCCCATGACAAAGTCCTGGTTCATGGTTTATAATATATAGAACCAGGTTTTAAAATTTCTTCCTTTAGTTAGAAACATAAACATGGTACATCTGACTGGCAATAAAGTATGGTTTGTTTAATAATGCCAGTTAAAATCCTCAGTCTATGTTTTGTAATGTAACCACTGTTACAAGACACAAATTTTAAATTTTAAATGACAATTATGTACCATTAAGTAATCCATCCACCCCGAATCTAAATAATTAGCTTTTGCTTTTTACTTTAAAAATAGCTAATTATTTTGAGTATTTTAAATTAATTTATTTGTGTTGTATTATAATTACAGCTTACATTGGAGTTTTAAGATGCATACTTTTTTAAAGACCCTGTTAAATGTAAGGGAGATAAGGCAAGCAATATACCACAGGAAAGAGCCAGGAGCAAGACACCAGAAAAATCCTGCAGACTCCAAGGAAAACACCGAAAAAAACAATTTACTTTGGCCACTTAACACATATTTAATGAGTGCCTACCATATGCCAGGCATAATTAATAAATATGTAGACAAGTTAGCCAGAGCTAATACCCTAGAGTTTCAAGAAAAAAAAAAAAAATCTAGCTTCATGAGCACACAAATAAACACCTCATCCTCGCCCAGAGGCCAAACACCAATAAGCCACTTTAACCTCCTATGAAACAGTTCAAGTTGTTTCTTATTTTGTATCCACCAAGGCATGGGGTTCCAGCAGGTACCGCCACAAAAATCCAGTAATGTCGCAAAAAGAAAAACAAAAAACAAACCCAACAATCTTAAATGTTGACGTATTTAAAACATTTTATTTGTTATTTGTAGTAATAACATTTAGCTGGATTGCCTTTAGAGGCGCCAGCCATGTGAGCATAGAAGCATCCTTTAAAACCCACTATCAAGAATTTAAATTGTGGGATTATGTTACTTAATATGCAAAGCACTTATAAAAAGTGCTTATGAATTTCAGGTATAATTATTAACTGTTCCTTATTATTCTCATATTTATTAGACACTTGTAGATAAAAAGCAAAACCGGCGCAGCAGAGAAACCGCAGGAGGGCGGGGCTGTGCAGCCAGGCTCAGGTAGTGAAGGCGCGCATGCGCAGAGATGGGCCTGATTTGGGGGGGGTAGCTCACACTGCGCAGGCGCAGGCGGCTCTGGGGAGGCGGGGCCCTAGGCCAACTCAGAGGAGGGGCCGAGCTTTGGATAGGCAGGGCCTGGGCGGGGTTGGGGGGGGCCATCTCAGAGGAGGCGGGCTTAGAGAGGCGGGGTTTGGGGGAGCCACCTCAAAGGAGGGGGGCTCTGAGAGAGGCGGGGTCTTGTGAGCCGCCTCAGAGGAGGCGGGCTCAGAGTGAGGTGTCGGGGGGAGGCAGGGTCTAGGAGGCGCGCTCTGGGAGGCGCGCTCCGGGGAGGCGCGCCCGGGGAGGCGCGCTCCGGGAAGGCGCGCTCCGGGGAGGCGCGCTCCGGGAAGGCGCGCTCCGGGAAGGCGCGCTCCGGGAGGCGCGCTGCAGAAGAGGCGCGCTGCGGAGGAGGCGCGTTGCAGAGGAGGCGCGCTCGCAGTAGGCGCTAGGAGGCGCTAAGCCGGCTCGGAGCCGATACTGCAGAGAAGGCGCGCTAGAATGGGCGGGGCAGGTCTGAGACTGGCTGCAAGCCTCTCCCAGGATCCCCCCCTCCCAACACCCCTCCCACCCGTCTCCAACAGCCAGATTCATTTCATGCAACAAGAGCAATCCCCTCCAGGTCCAATCCCTCCCCAATACTAAGCAAACCAACACTTTCCACAAACTGTTGCTGGACGCGGATTCGCGCCATCACTACAACTATACTGCCGCTTCAATCAAGCGCAACTAGGCAAGGCAGCCCGTTCTGCCACCACCAAAATATTCCCCTTTACACTCAAGTCAGGGCCCCTCCACTCCACTGCCATATAGCAGGAATGGTGCGGCAGAATGTTAAACGTTAATTTTTTGCCTGGGGCTCCATTTTGTCTACCACCACCAGCACACAGAGAGCCGACCTGCAGAAAAACGTAGTGGGAACCATTCCAAAAGGTATGTTAGAGACAAAGGGTGGGGTTTCCCCCTCTAAGAAGCCAGAGTAATTTTACTCTGCAGTTTATATCCCTCTACAGCTGGTTTCTTTGTAGCGCCAATGCAGCTTGCATATCTCTGCAGCTGTTATTAGTTTGTAGCGCATTTGAGGGCATAAATTGTTCTGCAGCTCATGTACCTCTGCAGTTCCTGTGCATTGTAGCTTGTAGCTCGTAGCTCGATGAAGCGCTGTTGTAGCGCAATCATCATTTTTGTAGCGCTAATCTTCTGCAGCTCAGATTTTGTAGCGCATTTAAAGCGCAAATCAATCTGCAGCTCATATATCGCTGCAATTCCTACTGGCTTGTAGCGCAAATGAAGCGCTTATCAGCCTTTAGCGCAATTGAAGCGCTTATCATTCTGCAGCGCATGAAGCGCCAATTAGTTTGTAGCGCGTATCACTTAGTAGCGCATTTGAAGAGCAAATTCCAAATAGGTCTGTAGCTCATGTCCGTCTGCAGCTCATGTCTGTCCGCAGCTCATGTCTGTCTACAGCCCATATCTGGACTTATCGATTCTGGAAATCAAAGCCCTGAAGGCTTCGTTTCTCCACTCCGTTTTGGGGTTCAGCCAGTGAAGGCGTGACAAGATTTGCGTAGAGATAGATATTCCGAGGCACTACTCCATCTCCCGATAAGAACGGAGATTGAATGGGATCTAAAAAAAAAAAAAGAAAAAAAGAACAAAAAACGTTCTCACCGCATACTCACCACGCGAGGACTCCTCTGCGAAGACAGGAAGGACGGGGTCCCACACCTGTGCCAGGCGTGGGATCCGCTGGGTGCTCCGCAGCCCGGAGTGGCTCCGGTTGCGAAGCCCGCTCAGCGGACCTTTCGCGAGGCTCGGTGGACCCTCTCCGATGTTCCGATGTTCCGATGTTCTCCGCGGTTCTTCCCAGGTCGCAGTCAGGTTTCTTCGACACACACCAACCGAAGTTGAAGCGCGTGTACCCGGAGCGCCGACTGGCAGCCTTTTATAGGCTGAACAGAGGAGGGGGCGCCAATTCCCAGCGTGCTCCGCGAGTGAGGGGGGCGGAAGGGGTGCGGGGGCGGGCGGGATGGGGGTGGGAGCGCGGCCCCGCTTCGCGGGCTCGCCGCTAGGGGGAGTAGGAGATTACGGAGGGGGTGCAGGATGCTGATGCTGAACGGGCCCAGCTGGGAAGAAAGAAGAAAGGGAGGGGAGGGGAGATCGAGGACGGCCGGCCTAGGCAGGCCAAGAATGCAATTTCCCCCGTGGTGGGAGCTGGGAGACCCTTGTGCTTGGACAGGACAGGGTCGGGGGACACGCAGGATGAGCCCCTGGACCACTGGCACCTTCTTGCTGACAGGTTAGTGACCCGCGCGCGACAGGAGGTACCAAGGCCAACTGGCCTCCGCCCTCCCATCCCCCCACCGAGGTTTTGGGTGCTCGTGGTCATTTTCTGGGGCGTCAGCCCCTCTTGTTCCCTGGGTCCCCAACTGCACCCCTCTTCCAGGACGCCCCCCACCCCACTTCCGGGGCTTGGGCGTCGTTTCCCAGGCTTGACCCTTGGCCTTCTCTTTTTCTTGGCACCCCCACGGGCCCCTCCCTGCCCAGAAAGCGCCGAAATTTTATCTCCACTTTCCATTCCCAACGCTGTCCACCCCCCCCCCCCCCATCTCCAACCCTGGTGGTGGACCTCTCTGATCCCTGCAACAAAGGGCTGGGGGTCGTTGCCCATTTTTATGGGGGGCTCGTTACCCCACAAATGGGGTTCTGCGTCCCAGAGGCGAGCCATAGGAAAGGGGTATCAAGCTGCTTCCTTCTCTACAAAACACATTTTTTCCCTTTTCTTGAATCTGATCGGGAGAGAACAGAAAAAAAATGTGCATTTGAAACATCTGATTACCCCTCTTCCTGAGCGCATTTCTCGGCGGCGGCGGATCTCTTGTTTTTTTCTTCGTCTTTCCTGAGTAGGGACGCAGAATCATGAAATACTGGATCTAAGCGGCATTCAGGTCAGGGTTCGCCCCGGCTGGGGGCTAGAGACGCTGAAAACAGCACTATTTGCCCCACCAAGCGCACTATTTCAAGAAAGCAGGAACAATTAAAAACAGCTGTGGATGCCTCCGATGTGCTTGGCGGGCTTCAGAGGCTCGCAGCCGCGGCCTTTTTGTGGCGATTACGAGGTTTTCGCTGAGATTTCTTCTCCCCGCAACGTTACATTTTTGTAAATCTTGTAGGGAGAGTGACTGCCTTTAGTCACATCAGCCTCATGTTAATCCTTGCAAGTGCGATGCCGAGATTCATCTCCACACATAAACATATATGTTTTACGTTAGGGGAAATTGCAGTGAGTTACAAGACTCATTCCATGATGAGGAAGGATGCTTTTTTCAAAAAAGCCTTAGCGCGGGTTTCCATGTAAGCGCCCCAAAGTGTTAGGCGCCAAGAAAACGGGCAATCTGTTGATAATCTGAGCAAAATAAGTTTAAGTTAAAATGGGAAAACAAATTGTCTACAGCTGAATAAGTTTCCTCAAACAGATGAGACACATTTGTATTTGAAGGCTAAAATTCAGCATAGTTTAGTAACACTGCTACAGATTGTTTTATACGGAGAGGATAAATAAGAATTTGACCCATTAGAGATAGCCGGGTGGCAGACTCCTATTTAAAGTGAGGCTGCTTAGAAATAAACAAAATTGTAGCATATTTGCTGAGAGTTGACTTTTTTTGATCAGAAATAAAATATTGACCATTAGATAGATGAATGAATGAAGTGCAGATTTCCAACAATGAAAGATATTTATCTAGAAACTTGGGGGGAACACAATTTTCTTTTTAGAAGTGCCTTTTAATCTTTAGGATATGCACCCTTTTCTGCAAGAGAGAATAATATCAGAACTTCTTATGTTTGCTAGAGTTTACTGTTGTGGTGACCACGGAACTGTCAAATTCTTAGCTTTATTTTAATCCAGAAAATTTACTTCATCTAATTGTTAACTAATAGATATTCCTTTCCAAAAAGTCAGATTAAAAATCAGTATAGATGGCAGGGGAAATTCAAGTTTATAAATTATCCCAAGATTTTTAAAGTTTGAACAAGTTTGAATCAATTGATTTTTTTTTAATTTCAAAATATTAACCAGGATTTTTGTTGTTGTTAAAAGAAGCTTTAGTATTATATTTATCATAATTTCCATTCATTGCACAAAAAAGTAATTTCTATTCATTGTACAAAAAGTAAGGGAAAAATATTTCAGAAAATTGAAAAAAACAAATGAAGACAATCAAGATCACCTGTAACCTCTTCTTTCTTAGATAACCCCGGTAAGCATTATGGAATTTGTTTTTTTAGACTTCATCTAATTAATACATATTTTGGTGAGAGTTGTCTATATATAATTTCTAAAATTAAAAATGTGATCAAATGAATTTTCTCCATTATATTCTTTTCAAGGATACTTAACTGTCAAATAACATTACATTTTCAGAGACTTTTTAAAAAAGGAAATGTTGATTACTTTTTCTAATTAGAATTTTAAATGAACATTAGTACATAAAGATCTATGCCTAGAGAGCTGAGAATTTTCACTGTCCTAACATACACATCCTGACCATTTGGGTGTATTTCCTTATGTTGTTTATTCTTCTACATATGAAACAATTTTTGCTTTGCCTTAGAAATACAATTTTTCAAGAGAAAATATCGGTAGGTAACTAGTTTTGATTAACCTTTCTTATCTAAAACAGCAGAATGTTAAAAATAAAAACAAAACACAGGGTTAATAGACAATACTTTACATAACATTTGTGTTACCTAAAACAACAAAACAACATTAAAAACTACCCCCCAAAATTAACAAAGAATTTAATACCTTTTTGACATTTAGAATCATAAGTGAATTTTAGATTTTCTCAGGTATTTGTTCCTAATGTTGACTATTTCTTATCTATTTTGCACAAGATTACATGTAAAGCAAAATGTGATGCCAGATTACATTTCATAGCTAATGTGCATTATCTGTTTTACCAAATAAGAACTGGGCATTGTATTTGGACATTTTAATCCATCTTAATGAAAATTTTCTCTGAATCTATGAAGCTGTTGATTTACCACCAACATTTAACTGCTTGTTTAGTGGGGAAATTGTATTTCAAAACCAAGTGGAATATTCACTTGTCAAATAATAACTAGACTTCTATTTGGACATCTTACCTATTTAATGACAATTTGCCATTTATTTGTGAAGCTATTGATTTACTTCATGTATTTAGCTTTAATTTCTCTGATGGTGAGAAAATTGTATTTCAAAAACAAAGTGGAATTTTCATTTGTCAAATTATAAGTGGACTTTCTAGTTGGACATTTTACCTATTTTTAAATGACAATTTGCTATGGATCTGTGAACCTGCTGATTTATATACATTTGGCTTACCTTTTAGTATGGTGGGGAAATTTATTTCTAAGCAAAGTAAAATTTTCAGTGGTCATATATTAACTGGACTTAGTATTTGATAATTTTATCCATTTATTATAAGAGTTTGCCATAAATTTAAAAGCTGTTGATTTACCTCATATATTTAGCTTTAATCTAGTATGGTTGACAAATTGTATTTCTAAACAAAGTGGAATTTTCACTTACTGTAATGAAAAAATACTGGTAAGAGACAACCTCAAAGAGATAAAGATAATATGTATCCAGTTTCTCTAACACTGGCTTTCCATGGATGGAAACCATGTTCAAACCAAAATGCCGCAACAGTGAAGAAACCCTGACATCTTAAAATTTCTCAATCAAATATTCAAATTGGGTGGGATTATAATTTGTGCCGTATTTATAGATCACATTTTCTCCAAAACAACTAGTTACCTTGTTCCTTTTTCTTTTTTATTAATTGACCACACTTACTCTATCAGCCCCCTTTTCTTGAAACTCACCCTTGCATCCATTCTAAATACCAGTGCAAATTCTATTGCTGATTCTACTCTTAGTGTTAAAAGGGACTCCCGGTGAATAGATGATATGGGTGTACGTGTCCGTGAGAGATTCTTGGGCTGGAGCTCTGTTTCAGTCAGGGGCTTCACAGAAATAGTAACATGGTGATTTTGTTTTTATTTCCATTCTTTCCAATGAGCAAAGACAAAGAGACAGGCATGACAGACACACAGATGCAAAAAACATCCAGTCTTTTTCTAAACTTCAGGATCTGCTGTTATCTCCCTGGTTTCCAGAAATATTAAACCAAAAGTAGCAATGCAAAATTAAAAATAAAAAAAAGAAGAAATTGGTGTTTCTAAGGATCAACAAGTCTTTTCAAAGACTATTTTTTTTCTGACTGGGGTTTTCAGGTTGGTAGGATCAGATGGAGCCTCAATGCTCTTAAAGCTGTTTCACATGAACTGCCTCCAAGCCAAAGGCTCTGGAAGCAAAATTCCCGGGGTCTTCAATTTTTAAAACATTGTAACTATAGCAAAGACAGGATTGAGTAAAAACAACCCCTGCAGCCTGCTATGAGAACATTTGCATGGATGCTGCTGGTTTTCTAGTTAGATGCATGTGCGTATATATTTTTACGTGACTATTGTTTTAATATGTGTAGATTTTTTACACTTTGTTTTGAAAGATAAGTGAATTTTGCTTTCAACAGAGCATTTGTCAGGGCTTTAGGATGCTCTTGTGTGTGACATGGTGTGCAGACTACTAGCAGGATTGCTTTGTAAGCGTGACTCCGGCTGCACCAGCACCTGCCAGGTGTGTGGGGTACGGAGCGCGGGTCCGGCAGTGGTCCCCACTGAAGAATCACACGCCTTTGCCTCAGTTCTTCTTCAAAATTTTTATGAATGACTTTGATGAAGACCTAGGGCACTTGCTTTAAAATCCATAGATGACTTGCAAAGGGATCACTGTTAGAATTAGATAACAGAACTTAGAGTTACCATGGTTTAAATAGGTTGCAATGCTTTGCAAAAAGATATTTTATACTAGTAAATGCATCATGATTCACTAAGTGTGAGGAAGGAGGTGACTTAACATGGTGGTGATTTTTTGAGGAAAAAGGTTAATATGAGCCAGCAGCATGATGTGGCTGCAAACAAAAAAAAATCACATTTAAATTCTGATAATAGAATAGTGCTCATATGTCACAAAAATTAATAGTACCCTGCTCTAATTAACCACCTCTGTAGTATTGTGTCCATTTCTGGCTGTCACATTTAAAGAGAGATGTTGACAAATTAGACAACTTCCAGAGCAGTCTGTGGGGATGGTGAGAGGCCTGGCAATCCTGTCATAGGAGCTCTCTTCAAAGAGTCTGGAAATGCTTAGCTTGATGACTAAAAGTAGACATAAACTCTTCTGTTTGT